AACGCGTTGATTTAATCGCTTATAGCAACGCACTGTGTATTTAAAACAATTGAATCTAATTAACGAATACCGGTAAAATGGGGCGATTAGGGATTGACAGGCGAATCGGGAAAAAACCGGGAAAATCTTTCGACGCTCAATATAAGTTTTATATTCGTTGCAAAATCTTCCATTTTTTGTAGTTTAATAGAAAAATGTTGAAAGTTCACAAAACAACTCTGAATATGCATGATAATAGCTGCTAACTTATAAAAAATCGCGTTTCAAATTAACTTCCTGTGGTGGTCATTATTTTAGTGCTAGAAACTTTGCTCTCTTTTATTTATTTGATAATAATAGAAGACGACTATGATTTATAAACGTTATTTAGTGTTTGAACCAGCATATATATTAAAGGTAAGTCTCAGTTGTTATTGGTTTTAATGTATTTGATTAAATAAAAATACATGTAAAAATCTGTTGTTTTTGGGGATATTGGGGACGTCTTAGGTACAAATAACAACGAAAAAGGGGTCAATTGGGATGAGAATACGTGAAATGGAAACGACCTAAGTATAAATAGGTACAGGTTTGTAGGGTTGTCTATGTAGTTATAACAATATTTTTTAAATTTGTTGGTAAAAATCTGGTTTATTCGAAGCGAAATTGGGAATAAGTCTTTAGTTGAAATAGATAAGCAATTTAATATAAGTAAGTCGATTTTGCAGAGACATGTAACAAGATCAATGAAATCTCAAGGTGGACAAAAATGTCTAAGTAATACATAATAAAATATTTAATATTTGTTCAGAGTGGGGGTATTCATCTGATTAATCCATGGAATAACCGACACACCTAATCTCTTAACCCAGATAGAAATATCAGCACTGTCGATTGCACCTATAATTGAGGTGATGTCTGCCATGTACTTTTGTCAGTTTTTCAATTTTTTTTATTGATGATCACTTTGTTGGTGCAACTAAATAAATAAATAAATTAAAACTATATATAAAAATAAAAGTAGTGCCAACCCTAGCAAATTTCTCATTTCGTCCCAATTAACCGCAATTTTCGGGTAAATAGGGATTACACCTATTTTTGCATTTTTTGCTTAAACTGGAATGCTAGTTGCATAATTTTAAATTAGACAACAAAGATGCCCCCAAGACTCAATCATTTTGATCCTGATATAGCATTATATACATCAACAACTACCTTAAAATTGCTCATAAAGTTGGAATTTGTCCCTAATCGCCCCATTTTACGGTACTCAAATATATTAATGTTCTAGAAATACGGGGTATTTTCTTTTTAATTTTTTAATTTATGACCTGGTGACAGAGACCTTTAGGTCATATCTTATTTGGAAAAATACGCGGGAGAAAAATTTTAAACCTAGAAAGATTCAAAAATCGTACTCTCAAATGTAGTCCAACAAACTATCTTGTATTCGATTAGATTTATTTAAAATCATTCTCTCATAAAATGTTTTAAATACGTTATAATTTAAATAATTCTAATCAAAACATAAGACTAATAACTAAAATACACACAGTAAGAATTAGTATTTCAATAATTAACTGTGTATAAAGCATATTTTTTTAAATTGTCTTGTTTATAAACTGTTAGAATAAGTACAGTAAAATAATTAATTACATTATATCATAATGTAAGTTTCGCCGTATCAAATTTCCCATTTATTTTGGTATAAAAATTATGAACCTTAAATAGTTTTCTAGTTCAATTGATTATTAATTCAAGATGGCTGTTTACATTTTCGCGGTCTATGAGTTTCGGAATTATTCTTAATTTAAATGGCTGTAGTTTACTCCGTTCATGGTGATTAACAATAAAGCATACGGCGGATATTCCTCTGATCGTATTTAAAGCTGACAGCAAAAGACCAAACATGCCGAAAATATATATTTGGTTAAATCATATTTATCAGTTGCTGTGTATTCTTATTAATGAATAAATTGACCGCAAAGCGCATTGACTATCCGGTTCATTTAAATGCGATTCCCATACGATCGACACGGTGGATGCCCTGCCACAATGACGTCTACACAACTTATGTACCGTGTAAATTGGCCTAATCTGTGTAAGTTATTTTATGCTTTTTATACTATTTTAGCTCCAATGAACTGTGTATTTTCATATCAAATGTAATTCTTTACGTTACAAAGCATGTCAGATCTATATCAATTATATTTGTACCTTTGTCGTTAAGCTTTAAATTTTGTTGTTATTGCTTAGTTATTGCTTTTACTGGTGGTAGGACCTCTTATGAGTCCCCACGGATGGGTACCACCACTCTGCCTATTTCTGCTATGAAGCAGTAATGCGTTTCAGTTTGAAGGATGGGGCAGCCGTAGTAACTATACTTGAGACCTTAGAACTTATATCTCGAGGTAGGTGGCGCATTTACTTTGTAGATGTCTATGGGCTCCAGTCACCACTTAACAGTTAACACCAGGTGGGCTGTGAGCTCGTCCACCCATCTAAGCAATAAAAAAAAAGTATTTTATAGTACATGTATGGTGAGGCTTAGGGGAGGCCCATATCCATGATTGGACGTCTCTTGGGCTGAAAGATAGATAGATAGAAGAAGGTGATTGATCTTATTTAGATTTTTTATCCGCGCATCAATTTAATAGAAACATTCAAATTTTACCAAAACACGAATAAATTGTATTATAATCGCATTGACGTTGTCGTATCCAGATTTCAATATATATTTTTTATGTCTGTTACGTGAATTCAAAATTAATCAACAAAATTTTCCATTTTCCTTTCACTAACATTTTTGACTATTAAATGGTAGACAGTGTCACACAACAGACCTTATCTGTATTAAATTATCTATCTTTATTGAATGACCGATTTTTATTATTTTAAATAAAGTAATATTTACTTTTTCCTTTCAAGTTAGACAATTCAGTTGCAGCATTATTTTAGTGACGCATAGCTAAGATTCCCGTTTATTGTGGGATTCATTTAAACATATGCACAGATGTGTCGTTCATACGTGACAATGTCACAACACTATACAGAATACGAATTACTTTAAACTATCACTGAACGGTGTACAAGCAAAATTTGTTTTTATTGTTAGAGCGATAAATGTCATTTTAGCTTAGTTATTTTGTTTAGAATTTGTTGATTAGAAACCTATTCATTCATATAGTGCCTGTCTATCGGTACTCCTAGGGATATGTCTTGAATTGACATTTGGATAAAGTCCCAACGAAGATTTCATTTTTCAATAATAATTATTGGTCTGCTACGACTGCAATTTATGTATGTACATGAATTTGGTTTTTATAATTTACTAGTTGACCCGGCAGACTTCGTAGTGCCTCAATCGATAAATAAAAGACCTAAACTTTTGTATAAAATAAACAAAAGGAATCCGTCCGAATGGGGACACATCAAAGGAAAAATAAAATTGTTATTTTTTTATTTAAATCCGAGCATTTTCATATTTATCTACCTTTTAAACCTTCTCTGGACTCCAACTAATAATTCAAGATCAAAATTATCCAAATCGGTCCAGCCTTCTCGAGTTTTAGCGAGACTAACGAACAGCAATTCATTTTTATATATATAGATTAGTGTTCGCGGCTCGTTCAAAATTTGATCACAATTCAAAGTAATAATAAATCCTAATAAACCTTAGTATTCATTTTGTATATTAGATTTTCTCTTTTGTTTTATTATTGTTATTTTTTGGCCTTCATTTGGCATATTTATTTAGCGATCTTCTTTTTGAAACATTAGTCCAATAAATCATTTTATGATGTGTTTCCATTAAAAACACAATGTATTTTTTGTTTGTTTTACAATGCAATACCAGAACAATAATAATAATATAGTATGTATCTAGTATGACTAATAATCTGGTATGACTAATTATATGATATTTTTTTAAATCATCACACATCCCCGTGATCTAAATAGGATTCGAGTCTATCTTATGCATCGTGTTAAACAAGCTTTTATAATGTGAACTACATAATACTAAATGGATATACACGAATTATGTAGTACACTGGTGGTAAGGCGTGTTATAAACTAGCACGGATAGATACCATCATTTTGCCTGTGTTTGTCGCGAAGCAATCATGTGGTCCGCTTTTTACTCATGCCTCTGGGTTTCGGTAATCACTTAAAATTATGTCGGTCGTGTGATCTTTTAGACATTCACGTATTAAAAAATATATTTCAGCAGTGTTATTTTTCATTCATCCATTTTTATGCGGCCAAAATTATTTCATTTGCCCTCTAAGGCGTTCCGGAACATAACGCTTTCAAAATTACGTCCGTACATTTGTAGTACCGTTTTGTTTATTTTGTTCAATAAATATTACCAACAAACAGAAACCGATTTACCGTATTTACTCATAATATATTCGTATCGTCTCAAAGCTAAGCATGAAAACACTAATAAACTAAGCACGAACTTAAACCGTTTCAGAAACCATCATTGGGAAGTTTCCTTCGAGTCTCACCAAAACAAATAGTATGTATTTGACAGTAACAGCGTTGACTCCTAACTACTTTCTGATTGCCATCGAAGGCTGTATCTCACCTGATTGTAAATTATTATTATTTTTTACTTTTATTGCTTAGATGGGTGGACGAGCTCACAGCCCACCTGGTGTTAAGTGGTTACTGGAGCCCATAGATATCTACGACGTAAATTGCCCACCCATCTTGAGATATAAGTTCTAAGGTCTCAAGTATAGTTACAACGGCTACCTTACCCTTCAAACCGAAACGCACTACTGCTTCACGGCAGAAATAGGTAGGGTGGTGGTACCTACCCGCGCGGACTCACAAGAGGTCCTACCACCATTATTTAGAAATCTTGCGAGCATAGCCGAACTGCTTCCTACTATGAAAGTCAATATGAATATTGACGATAAATTTCATCGAACAGTCTTAGTTCCCGCGAGAAACTTCTATAATTAATTTCGATATGCGTAAAAATATTAATTTGAAATCTAAAATGTACTAACCTGCATCTGAAACCAGGAGTCGAAGAGCCCAGCGGCGTGCGTAGCTCCAAAACGGCCGCCGCCCGGGACAATCTACAAAAATAATTTAATTACCCATCTTTTAATACATTGAATGTAGATTTTGGAGGTACTTAAACACATACAATTGGAGGTACATAAACACACACAAACATATCTACATTTAATTGTTCGATTTATTCGTTCACGTATATTCGTGTATTTCAAATAGCTTTGTAGTTATCATTAGTCTTTCCGAGAAGGTTTTCAGATCAACGAAACGATTTACGTCTCACATCTTCAATGATAATCACGGCGCATCATGAATTTATTTGGTTAGTGCATTTTCTATACGAGATATACAACTAGATGTCTATGCGAAGGCCAGTTCTTTATTAAATTAAAGACGCTTTTTAACTAAATAATGTAAATTATGGGCGAAAGTATGTTTTACTGCGGACATATTTTGTGGCTATATTTCTAATGCCAAGCATGCTTTGCGATTTGAAGGGTAGCATTATATGTATGTAACTAGTCTGGCCGTAAATACTGTTACATAAAACCTTTCTTTTTTTCAACTTTTTTATTATTTTGAATTTGGAACCCGTATACTATTTTAAAAGCTTCGTTTCATTTTGCGCCATTTCACATATTGATATTTTTTGGTGTTCGTTATCGAATTACAATATGGAATGGGGTGTTAAAGAGAACAGGATTGCAGTGATTGCCTTGCATAAAGTGAGTATGGAGCCGTCGGTCAGATTCCAGACACTTCAAAAATTTGGTATCAGCCGTATGTTCGTATATCGTATTATCAACAGATACAACAACACTTCGCCTGTCAAAGACCAGAAAAGATTGGGGCGGCCGTGTGCTTTTAGAAATACAAGGGCGGTTAATGCTCTTAAAGCCAGAATTCGTCGAAACCCCATTAGGAAACAAAAAATCTTATCGCGAGAAATGAAGATTCCCGCTAGGACTTTGTCGCGTATTATTATAAAACAAGACCTGGAGCTCGGTCCTTATCGTTGATGTACAGGACATGCCCTAAATCAATCTTTACAATTAAATAGAGTGGATCGATCAAAACGCCTTGTGTCGCGATACGCAGGTGAAAGGCACAGAAATATCCTCCATACCGATGAAAAAATTTTCAGGATTGAAGAACACTACAATAAGCAAAATGACAAAGTGTACGCTCACAGTCCTAAAGAAGCTGCTCAAGTGTCATCATCCTGCGTCAGTGATAGTTTGGTGGGGCGTGTCTTATCAAGGAGTCACAAAACTACATTTTTGTGAAAAAGGAGTGAAAACTTCAGCCAAAGTGTATCAAGACTGTACTTGGATCATGTTGTGAAAGAAGAATACACTTTTTACATACCGTGAACTTTCCAGCAGGACTCTGCACCTGGTCACAAGGCACGAACTACCTAAGCCTGGCTTGAAACCGACGTTCCGGACTTTATAAGAGCTGAAAACTGGCCCTCATCTAGCCCAGACGTCAACCCTTTAGACTTCAAATTATGGTCAATTTTAGACGAGATGGCCGGCTTTAAAAGACACTTCGACATTGAGTCTCTAAAATATATTTGAAGCAAGCAGTGGCGAAATTTCCCCTGGAAACTGTGCGTAAATCCATAGATTCGTGGCCAAACAGATTAAAGGCCTGTATAAAAGTCAAAGATGGCCATTTCGAATAGAACATATTTTTTTTTGCTGGGACTTTTAATAAATATGTAGGTATTAATTTTAATAATATTAAATAACTTCATTTAAAAAAATGCCTTTTGATTTGTAGCGGAACTTATGAGTGGACTAGGTATGTATTATTGTATCGTGTTTGAACCTTCGATTTTCTGTCTTAGATGGTTGACGGCATTGATGTTGTGACGTCTACGATGAGACGATGCCTTGAGGTGGGCCGTGAGTTTGTTTGCTTCTGTGCACTAGACGCTATTTCATTCATCATTGCTTTACACTACGCGCGCGTGTAAGTACATTGCGCATCTATATAATATGAATACGTGTACTATGAAATACGTACTCAGCAAATGTTCACGTTTGATTTCCACGGTGGAGGAATAACATCGTGTAATACAAATCCAATCCGCAAAATTATAATTTGCGTAATTACTGGTGGTAGGACCTCTTGTGAATCCGCGCGAGTAGGTACCACCACCCAGCCTATTTCTGCCATGAAGCAGTAATGCGTTTCGGTTTGAAGGTTTGGGCAGCCGTTTTAACTATACTTGAGACCTTAGAACTTATATCTCAACGTAGGTGGCGCATTTACGCTGTAGATGTCTATGGGTTCCAGTAACTACTTAACACCAGGTGGGTTGCGAGCTCGTCCACCCAACTAAGCAATAAAAATTAAAAAACGTGAAGCAAAAACAATGTACCCTTTTTTTATTAAAATTGCGCGGACCGAGGAGTATGAAATTTCCCACAATTATAGAGAATATAGAGAAGGAGTGCAGACTGTTCATCTTTTTTTAATTATGCATAAAAAATACATTAAATTAATGAAAAAAAGACATTACACACAATACCATATATTTGACTCAACATACGTATATATTTTGTTATTGTTTAAAGTCAGTGGTAAAATTGAGAATAGATTTTGTTTGTCTTTAATATTATTAGTCTATAGTGTAGTCTTGGCGAAATCTGTGATTATAGAAGTATAATGAACCATAATAATGTACAAACTTATTTATTTCAATTCATTATAGTCGAATTTCGACTACTAGGGGACCACTAGTTTTATCAAATCGGCTTGCTTTTGTGATTCTTTGGTCTCTAGAATCGCAGAATAGTTCTCGAGAGATACTGGATTGTCAAAGGATAAATATAACACGATATAGTATTTATGGATAAATAGCCCTCAAACTATGAAAAGCCTTACACTAATGAACCGACTAGTTTCTGTTGGCAATATAAACTAAATGTGGGTATTATTTAGGATTTATTAACTTATTGACGCTTACATATTCTTTCTTAATTTTTTATTTATTACTAGCCGAATCCCGCGATTTTACCCGCGGCTATTGTCATACCACGGGTGACGCCGCGCGGTGAGTCTAGTCTAAAGAAAGTAACCTAAGTTACTCCTTATATAATCAGCTACTTATCAGTGAAAGTCCCATCAAAATTGGTTCAGCCGTTCCAGAGATTAATCGGAAAAAAATATACTGAGATCTTACAACTGATATCTCAAGGTGGCGGGTGGCGCATTTACGTTGTAGATGTCTATGGGCTCCAGTAATCACTTAACACCAGGTGTGCTGTGAGATCGTCCACCCATCTAAGCAATAAAAAAAAAACAGACAGACAAACAGATAGACAGACAAAATTAAAAAAAAATATGTTATTTTGATGTATGTACTGTGTATTACGTATTTAGTAAAAAGTGGTTATTTTATTATTACAAACCGACACTCCAATTTTATTTATTTGTAATAGATATTTAGTTTTAGGTAGTTTTCGTTGATCAAGGTAGCAGAAATACAGACTGATTAATGTATTTATGTTATGTTATCTATAACATCGTATGAAATGCTAAGATCACTGGTTTGAGATAATTTTCGGAGCGCGTTTTATTATTGTCGTTTTGAGATATAAGCAGTGGCGTTACCCGCATTCGCTTCGGGGGAACAATTTTATTACACCCTCTGCTGTGATGAATACATAAAACATATTTACTTTCAATGAAGCATTTGCCGATGTTTCACTTAGACTTGTACGTTTGGAGGTGAACGAGAAAATCAATAGAAATACTCTACTGAGTTTCTCGCCGGATCTTCTCAGTGGGTCGCGATTCCGATCCGGTGGTAGATTCTGCAAAGCACTGCTCTTGCTAGGGTTGATGTTAGCAAATTCTCTCAGGTTGAGCCCGTGAGGTCACCTACTCGTCCAGGCATAGCTGAAATAGCCCCTTAGGCTACCAGCGAATAGGTAGGCTTAAAAAGAGAACAACGAGACGGAAGATCTTTCACCGAGCGGTAGTATCACCAGGACAGGTGGGCGAGCAAAGGCTCAGCCAGGAGGGGTGGGATTTGCTAACAGTTGCCCGAGCGCCTCCGAAGGAGATTTCACAACTCAAGAGCAGCTGCTTCGCGAATGAATCTACTACCGAATCGGAATCGCGAACCACTGAGGAAATCAGCTCGATCTCCCGACGGGTCGAATGTTCGGAACTTGTATAGATACAAAATTATCTTGAAAATGTCGTTATCGCGATTCGGGTTTTTCTTAAAGATAATAATTACCGCTACATACGTAGTATTAAACTTAATAATTGATTTAAAGTGTCTATCAATTAAAAACGTTCAACAGAAACTTACTTCGTAAATTCAAGGAGCACACCTCGAGATAAATATCTTTAATTTTTATTATAATGGTAAAATATAATATAAATATTTTTTGTTATGTATAATAATGAATAATAAAATAATAAAGGAGCAGCTCCTGAGCTCGTAGATATTAAATACATCCTACCTAGCGACATGCGGTCAAAACTTTGATTGTATTTTAAGAAATATTATCCTATCTATCAAATAAGAGAGCTTGATGGTAAAAATAATCCGAACGGGGACAACAATCCAAACCTCCTTACAATCGTTGTGTGCATCACTATATAACAATTATTATATATTATATACATATAATATAATATAATATAATAATATATGTAATAAAACATTTAAAAAATTAATTATAAATTCCAAAAGTGTTTTATTTATCAACTATTAATTGAAAAAGTATCATGGCAATTGTTTATTAACGATTACAAATTATAATTTTTGTAAATCTCTTATAAACTTAAATTAATGTTTTGAAATCGAACGCACGGAATAGATTTTTCTTTATCGGAAACTGCAGGTGTCCTGCGGTTAATGTGGCATCGAAACTGTATTTTATTAATAATAAAACAGTTTACAGTTATGCGCGAGTCTATGTCGTACTCCGGCCCATAAAATGTAATTGTGCAAAAAAAATGTCGATCGGGTGGGTACTATTATTCTCCTTTGTCGCGTGGAAGCAAGACGGATAATAAAAAACAAAAGAGGATAAAGTTGTAAAAAATCAGATTATTAATTTAGCGCTCACAAAAATTAATCAAAGCGGTCAAAAAATTATTTTGTTTGTTGGGAATGATCAGTCAGTTATGAATTTAAAAAAAAAAACTTTTTGTACTAATTGTAACTTACATAAGTCACTATATTTCTAACTACACATAAGTCATTATATTTCGATGTCTATATTATATTATATATTATAATATAGACATTACGTCGTAATCATTTAGTGTCTACATTTTACGCAAATGAAACTTTTTAGCGAAACGAATAGGATGAAATTCGGTTCGCGTGCCGCGTAACCCGTGACCGACGGACGGCGTTGAAGTCTTTTTAATGCAATACAACGGTATCAGATTAAAGCTTCTTAAAATAAATACTTGTATAACCTAATTGTGTATTTATCATCGCTGTCAATTGCGTGTACAAATATTTTGAGATACTTTGGAAAATATTATTATTATTATTATTACTTAAAAATTGAGTCCAATTGAAGAATAGTGATTGAGAATACATATTTTTCATTAAGTATTGTTGAAAATTTCGTACCGTAATGAAATTAAATGCAATGGAATGAAACTAAATATTTTTTTAAAGCTAAAAAATACATTTAAAGTTTCTTGCAATTAAATAAACAACTTGAAATTCTTTTATTATGTTTACAAATAGTTTAGCATAATTTGTTTTTAGTGTCCAATGTTCCACTAGTTCTCAAGTAACGTAATATTGAAGGCGAATTTATGTTATTTCCGCGTTTTTTTTTTGTGTGCTATAAATCGACGTTGTATATCGATACATTTTGTGTTTGATCAGTAATCTCGGCCATATCGCGCGACAAATATGCATGTTGTACTATTATTATCTTAATATACACGTATATACGTATAGACACTTCCACAAGAAAATAACTCGTAGCTTTTTATACGAAATTCTTTAAATGAACATTGCCAACTTGAGGTTCTGCTTAATGCCTAATTTTGAATGTATGTGTATACAACGGAGAGTACCTACAATAATAATTATTCTAACGGAATTATTTGCACACAAACCAGATTTTGCACGTGTCTGTAGATAGATGCTTAACACAGTTTTAGTTTAGCTTAAAATCGTTACAGCTGTTTACAAAGCAAGCCGCGTTCGCGGGCTAATTTTCGTGTATAAAGATCACAAAGTCCCGTAATTTAGGCACTAGATAAGCGTTTGAGATCACTGTCGGTCTGCGGCAAGAACGAGTGTCGGTACCTGGTCGCCCACTAGGTCCTCGGGCGCTCTGATCACACAGCAGGCCTCCATTCCCGGCCGGGCCGGGTCGCGTCGCCTGCGAGTCTCACACTGAGGCGGTCCTGGGAGTCGCGCGGAACATCGCGCACGCCTGCGCGCACTCACTCCGCGCAACGAACTGCGTGCGTGATATCGCGCGGCGGTCGACCTCTTCCGCGGGGTAGCAATGAAAGTGATTACGTTCTTGCGCTACTGATAACTGGGGCTAGTTTCCGTTTTCCAAATCATTACCGGTTAACCTGCCATTGATGATTTCGATTGTTCGTAATGGAGTATGAATCCGTCAAAAGTCCACATAGCAACTAGTAATATTGTTGAGTACTGCATATACTCATCAGTTCAGATAAAAATGTTCACGATTGACTTCCACGGTGAAGGAATAACATGGTGTAATAAAAATCAAACCCGCAAAATTATAATTTGCATAATTACTGGTAGTAGGAGATCTTGTGAGTCCCCACGGGTAGGTACCACCACCCTACCTAATTCTGCCGTGAAGCAGTAATGCGTTTCGGTTCGAAGGGTGAGTTAGCCGTTGTAACTATGCAGAAACCTTAGAACTTATATCTCAAGGTGGGTGGCGCAAATGCAACGTAAATACGTTGTAGATATCTCCAGTAACCACTTAACACCAAGTGGGCTGTGAGCTCGTCCACCCATCTAAGCAATAAAAAAAAGATGATTTTCGTGATAACTAACTAAATATTGAACTAAATAAATTTAGTAAAAATGGAACAACACTAGCGAGTCTTGGCTATTGTTAGGAACATAAATTGAAATCAGAACCACGTTCTACAATACTGTGTGCTACATTGACTAATGCAGTACTGAGAGTAAGTGGCTTACGATAATGAAGGTTCTGATTGTGTTTTAGCATTGAATCTCCTCGTCGCGTTTAGGTACTTTCCAACCAGATAGTCTAAATAGCTATTATTTACATTGCACTAAGCATAATTTGGAACAAAATGAGGAAATCTGTCGAAGAACCAAAGTAACCGACACAGCCCTAAAGATTAGTAAGCTTTTTTTTTATTGCTTAGATGGATGGACGAGCTCACGGCCCACCTGATGTTAAGTAGTTACTGGAGCCCATAGACATCTACAACGTAAATGCGCCGCCCACCTTGAGATATAAGCTCTAAGGTCTCAAGTATAGTCACAACGGTTGCCCTACCTTGAAGTGGCAATGGGTCGGACATAGGACATATTATGTGTTGCAGAACCGATAGCTGATGGAACAGACGCGTTCTGGACTGGAGACCATGTACCGTTAATCGCAGCGTTGGACATCCCCATGCCTGTTGGACTGATAACTTGCGGCAATATGCTGGAGAAGATTGCTTAAAGCGGAGGATCGTTCATTGTGGCGGACTATGGCAGAGGCCTACATCCAGCAGTGGGGAGACACATTCTGATGATAATAAGGTATAATTTGTTTGCACTAATTAGAGTAGTTTAGTTTTTACATCTATTTTTGTTTTAAAATTTTCTATAGGCAGGTGAATTCACGGCCGATCTAATTTTAAGTGATTACGGGATACAAAGCGACGTGGACGAAGCTATTCTGTATCTGTTATAATGGCTATTCTAGGCTTCAAATACGCGTAATAGTTTCGCAGCTGAGTTAGACGATAAGGGTACCAATCGTGCTCTGGTACTTAAGAGGCTAGAAATTAGGAAGTTAGAGGCTGTAAAGTACGTAACTGTACTAGTATTACGGACGTGTAATAAGTAATTAACAACAGCATGAGAAGGTGGATATTGGGTGCTTATTTCTTTCTTTTTTTATTGCTTAGGTGGGTGGACGAGCTCATAGCCCACCTGGTGTTAAGCGGTTACTGGAGCCCATAGACATCTACAACGTAAATGTGCCATCTACCTTGAGATATAAGTTCTAAGGCCTCAAGTATAGTTACAACGGCTGCCCCACCCTGGATCGGTTTGAAAACCGGTTTGAAGAGTGGGGCAGCCGTTGTAATTATACTTGAGACCTTAGAACTTATATCTCAAGATGAGTGGCGTATTTACGTTTTAGATGTCTATGGGCTCCAGTAACCACTTAACACCAAGTGGGCTGTGAGCTCGTATACCCATCTAAGCAATAAAAAAAATCTGGAGGATACGAAAAGACATGTCCATCATAGTCGTCGTGAAGTATACATTCCTCACATACCATGGTGTTTCAAATACCCTGCAAAAGCGGGACTGTATTACTTTGAAGGTTTTTGTGTGGGTGCTCACCGTTTGAGTGAACACTACACTTAAATAAATATAATTAAGATCCTCGGACACAAACATTTTTAATTATCTTTTTGTTAAGCAGTAATAGTTCTTCCAGTTATTAGTTTTTATAAGCACACACATCATTCACAAGCTTATTAATTAGCTAATTAATGAAATGTTTTAAGCTCTTCGAGGTAATATCGTTTTACATCTAACACCGTTTTTGAGAAATACGCCTTCTATGTTTCATGTTGAATGTAGTTAAAATATTAATTATTATAATAATTTGAACAGTTCACTAAAGTAGTGAACAGATGAAAAACGTGTTAATGTTAATGCTGTATTAATTTATTTTATACGCATTCTATGGCTCAACCAAAACTTTGTTTTATTTAGCTCTTTAAGTAACGAACACGAATTCACTATTCAAGTACCTAAGTCGTTTAAAATATTTCGTAATCTTTGAAATTTATAATAATAAAATCGCTAAATTTTATTAACATCGTAAAACAAATGTACCATAAATACCATACCTAACATTTGTTAGTTACGTACTTGCTAAACTACTAATAGAATTTGAACGTTAAGTTTCTGTTAAATACTGTGGTGTATTTTTCTTTTCCCTACTACTATCAGCCCACAGACGTCCACTACTGGACATGAATCTCCCACGAAGCTTCCCACAGCGAGTTGTCCTGCCCTACTGTCTAGTAACTATTAAAAAAACCCAGCTCACCGTTTTGATTTGATAATGATAATGTACACGAGATATGAAAGTAAAATATTTACAAAACAGCAGATCTAGGCTACTTTCTTGATAAGATTCGCTATGGTGGGTAACGTTTGACGATTATTAAAACTTTTTAAAATTTGTTTGTGTATATTTACATAGTTTTTGATGTGAAACTTCTTTCGGTTTTTCAGTTAGATCAACAGATTCGTTACGGCTAGAGAGAAAAGATACAATTTAGGAAGAGCGAGAGTGAGAAAATAGACAGAGCGTCTCGTGAACCACTCGACCGTAGAGAGGAGGAAAGGACAAAGCGAGTTAGGTCTTTTCTCTTATACACAGCATTCCCTATTACAACAGAAATTTGATTTAAGGAAAAATGAAGAAAATCACAATACTGCACACCTCAAAAAGAAGTTTCACTTCTTTCACGAGCACCAAGTTGTACGCGCACCATTTTTATTTTTTATTAACAATTACCACTATTTCTACATTGAGTTCTCGATATTTGGGCGCTGTTTGTCCTGAAAAGCGTTACAAATCATGGTTACACTGTACAAGGTAATAGACAGTCGCGAAAGTTTAAAAACAAATTGTTCTATTTGTTTTAACGGCAATTCACACATTATTCGGGCATCAATTAAATGTCCATGAATTTCCGGAACAACTTCTGTTATTCTCAATTCATTCAGCGTAAATAATCACTGTCTATAGTTTATCCTCCTGTTTTCAGTAGTCGTAGACACAACTAAAACTAGTTTCACGTCTCAATCTCGCTTTTATCAACTTCACGAACGACTTAAAATGAAAAGTGTAAAGTATAAATAAATAGATATAATAAAATTGTAAAAATAAAAGCGATATTACTCCATAAAACTAGTTTTATTTAAGCCCCTACTATTCCTATTCGGGGTAAACGTTCGGCTGACGATAATTCTGCTTGCTGTATTTGGGTTTTTCATACTTAAATATATTTGAACGTAGGTATATTAAATGGGATATCAATCTCTTGTTTACATGCTACAGAGAATCTAATGAATGAATTCGTAATTCGTTACTATATTTAACTATTTTTTATACTGATTGTTTCGATTGATCTTGATGCTTCAGCTAATTGCTTTGGCAGTATAGCACTAATATAGATTACTGTACCGTGGTTCAGATTCCCCATGTTTCTCTTTGTTTATGATATTAAAAGCCTTTATTTGTTCTTATATTTAAGATAATCTTAGCTTGTAACAGTCCGATGTAGTGCGTTAAATTGCTAATAAGGCCGAAAAAATCCCAACAACTTCCCTTTAGAAAGTTTACCCCGTTTTAGTTAAGTACAAATCTGATAGCATCAAGAAGAGACAAATCGCTTCTTAATGAATGTTTTCATTTCCTACTATGTTTTTGTTTGAGATAAAATTTAGTCAAATATATTTAAACATTAATAATATAATTGAATTTCATAGTTTGTACATCATCGGGTGTTATCTAAACGTTTTTGACCACGGGCCGCTGTCAGCAACCGTACGCAAAACGTTATTCGCTACCTAGATTACTTGATTTTGATATTGAAAATAATTTACTTTGATTCAAGCTTGTATTAAGTCCTACTGATCAATCATACATTTAATATGAGTAATAAAAAACATTAGAACTTAATTATTTCAATCAAAGGCCCATAGTTGTGATACGACTATTTGTGTGTAGGTTTTTACTGTCATTTCGGGAATGAATAGAATTAATAAGTTCTTCTAATCTCTCCGGTCATCGTTCTCAACGATCTCGTCGCTTGCGACGAAGGGCTCGACGAGTAAATTAACCCACAGACACAGCTCATTGAGTATACCGCCGGATCTTCTCAGTGGGTCGCGTTTCCGATCCGGTGGTAGATTCTGCGAAGCACTGCTCTAGCTAGGGTTCGTGTTAGCAACGTCGTCAGGTTTGAGCTCTGTGAGCTCACCTACTAGCTCGGCGTATTTTTTAATTTTTTTATTTCCTTTGTAGGCAGACGAGCATACGGCCCACCTGATGGTGAGTGGTTACCGTCGCCCATGGACTTCAGCAATGCCAGGGGCAGAGCCAAGCCGCTGCC